ATTTTTCTTTTTTTTTTTTGAGATTTTAATATTTCATTATTTTTTAGAGAAGGGGAAGGGAGGGAGAAAGAGAGGGAGAGAAGCATCAATGTGTGATTGCCCCTCACATGCCCCCCCACCGGGAACCCGGCCTGCAACCCAGGTATGTGCCCCCACCAGGAATCGAATTGACAACCCTTTGATTCAGAGGCCCACACTCAATCCACTGAGCCACACCAGCCAGGGCTAACCGGCTGATTTCTATAGGTGTGGCAAAGAGTGCCAGTATCTAGAAGCTTACAGGTAGAGAGCAGATGAGCAAAAATGCAAAAGAGATTTTTTTTAGATCCTCAACTTTAAAGCACAATACTCTCTATTAATCTGTGCCTAGAAGCCAGAGGGCATCAAGGAAAGAGACTGTGGCACCTCTATCTGCAGGTCACCTGCCCGTCCCCACCACACCCACACCCCTGAGTCCGTTTGCTATAACTCAGGCCAATGTGAAATGTCCTTTTCATGCAAACTGTTTGCTCAGGAAGAAAGTCAGACAGTTAAGCACAACTAGAACACAGCTTAGCCTGGTGTGTAAGAAAGCCATGTAGACATATATAACTTTTAGGTAATATTCCTTACCATTGAAACCAGCAAAAATAAAATAAAGGTAAATCCTGGTGCTGCCTAAGCTGTGGGCAGACAGGCATTTACGTTTACATATATATATTGCTTTCAAAATATGTAAGATTTACCTGGCTGGCATAGCTCAGTGGATTGAGCGCAGGCCTTCGAACCACACAATCACAGTTCTGTTCCCAGTCAGGGCACATGCCTGGGCTGCAGGCCAGTTCCCGGCAGGGGACTCACGAGAGGCAACCACACATTGATGTTTCTCTCCTTCTCTCCTTCCCTTCCTCTCTAAAGATAAATTTTAAAAAATATGTAAGATTTAGCTGGTAGAATGTCAAAGAAATGGCCTTTAGGACTCTCATGCCCAACCCTGTCTCCTTTCTCAGCTGAACGTCACATCCGTGACTGTTTTGTAAAGGCCAGTTTATACTTCTTAATCCTGTCACCTTGCCTAAACCCTTTGTGACGGTCTAGACAAGGAGCGCTCTACCTCCAAACACACAGCCTGACACGCACAGGCGTCAAAAACTAGCTGAATGCGTGGATACCTAACAACTAGGAGCAAGCCAAGCAAACTGTGGTTGAACAGCAAGATATACTACAGGCTTTTAAGATGCTGTCAAACTGAAAGCCACAGATCTAGACATCAGGGAGAGTTGCCATCTGTTTGGCCTCAGTTACCCAGAGCTGCTTCAGCTGATCATCTTACCTCTACTCTCTTCCCACCTTTCCTTAGGCACCACCACCTCAGGACACCCCCAGAGGTCTCTGCAGGCCACTGTCCTAACAAGTATACTTTGATCGCCTGCCACGTTAGTGCGCAGACTCGCCCCACTGCAACCTCCTGCAGTACCGAGAACCCCGGGTGCTGTGAGCAGTCACCCCCCCCTCCCAGGGAGAGGCATGCACTTGTTTGCCATCTTCCACCGGAATGAAGGGCACTGCAAAGATCAGTCTTGCATAAGCATTTATCTTTGGTCTGAGATTTTGTTTCTTGATTCCTAAAAGTAGATTTACTGGCCTAGAGGATACACACATTTTGTTTATTTATTTAAAATATTTTATTTATTTATCTTTAGAGGGGAAGGGAAGGAGAGAGGGAGAGAAATATCAATGTATGGTTGCCTCTCATGCGTCCACTGATGGGACCTGGCCCGCAACCTAGGCATGTGCCCTGACTGGGAATCCAACCGTGATCCTTTGGTTCGCAGACCCGAGCTCAATCTACTGAGCTACACCAGCCAGGGCTGTTTATTTATTTTTTAAGGTATTGATTTTAGAAAGAGAAAGAGAAACAAACATCATCTTGCTGTCCCACCCATTCACGGAGGATGCACACATTTTGAATTCTGATATGTTCTAGTTGAGAACCTTTACATGGTAATTCGCGAACTCTCTGTATTTAGGCCTTACCTGAGAAGTGTTTTTAACTTCCTGCAACCCTAACAAACAACAAGTGCTGGTGAAGACAGAGGAGAGGGGACATTCCTGTACTGCTTGGTGGGGATGCAACTTGGTGCAGCCAACATGGGAAACAGCATGGAGGTTCCTCAAAAAATTAAAAATAGAACCACTTTAAGAAATGAAACAAAATAAAAATAGAACTACCTTAGAACCCAGCCATACCTCTTCTGGGCATTTAACTAAGAAAAATCCAAAACACTAATTCAAAAAAATATTACATCCACACATTCAGTGAAGCATTATTTACAATCGCCAAGCTACAGAAGCAACCTAAGTGCCCATGAATAGATAATTGGAATATTACTTGGCCCCCCAAAATGAAATCTTATCATTTCACTTATATGTGGAACCTAAAAAAACAAAATAAGCAAAATAGAAACAGACTCATAGATAGAATAAACTAACAGTTGCCAGATGGAAGGGGGCTGGGGAGCTGGGTGAAAAGGTGAAGGGATTAAGAAGTATAAATTGAGCCCTGGCTGGTGTAGCTCAGTGGATTGAGCGCGGTTCCCTGCGAACCAGACAATCGAGGTTCGATTCCCAGTCAGGGCACATGCCTGGGTTGCAGACCAGTTCCCTGCAGGCCAGTTCCCAGCAGGGGACGCACGAAAGGCAACCATACATTTATGTGTCTCTCCCTCTCTCCTTCCCTTCCCCTCTAAAGATAAATAAATAAAATATTTAAAAAAAAAAGAAGTATAAATTGGTAGTTACAAAACAGTCACAGGGATGTAAAGTACAGCATACGGAACACAGGCAATGATATTGTAATAATTATGTATAGTGCCAGGTGGGTACTGAACTTAATAAAATCACCTCGTAAGTTACATAAATGTCTACCCACTATGTGGTACACCTGAAACTCACATAATATTGAATGCCAACTGTAATTGAATAAAAAAACCCTTGTTTCCTTCTTCCACCATTTATCTTCCCCAGACCTTCTACCTACCCTACTCCGACTCCTTCCCCTCTGGTAATCACCACACTGTTGTCCGTGTCTATGAGGGTTGTTTTTTTTTTTTTCTTAATCCCTTCACCTTTTTCACCCAGCCACAAATAGCCCCCTGCCCTCAGACAGTTGTCAGTCTGTTCTGTAAAAAAATCTATTTTTTCGATTCCCAGTCAGGGCACATGCCTGGGTTGCAGGCCAGTTCCCAGCAGGGGACTCACGAGAGGCAACCACACATTGATATTTCTCTCCTCTCCTTCCCTTCCCCTCTAAAGATAAATAAATAAAATCTTTTTAAAAATCTATTTTTACGTTTTTAAAAACATTTTATGTATTTCTTTTTAGAGAAAGAGAGGAAGAGAAACATCAATGTGTGGTTGCTTCTCACACACCCCCAAACTGGGGACCTGGTTCAAAACTCAGGCATGTGCCTTGACTTGGAATCAAACTGGCAACCCTTTGGTTTGTAGGCTGGCGTTCAACCCACTCAGCCACACCAGCCAGTGCTATTTAAAAAAATTTTTTTAAGTTTATTTATTTTTAGAGAGAGGGGACAGGAAGGAGAAAGAGTGGGAGAGAAATATCAATGTGTGGTTGCCTCTCATGTGTCCCCCACTGGGGACCTGGCCTGCAACCCAGACATGTGCCCTGACTGGGAATCGAACCACGATCCCTTGCTTCACAGGCAATCCACTTCCGCGCTCAATCCACTGAGCTACACCAGCCAGGGCAAAATTTTTTTAAATGATTTTCTTTATTTGTTTTTAGAGAGAGGATCAAAGAGGAAAAAGAGGGAGAAAAAAATGCCGATGTGTGAGAAAAACATCGAATGGTTGCTTCTCCCACATCCCCAACTGGGGATCAGCCTACAATCTAGCCATGTACCCTGAGGAGGAATCGAACCGGTAACCTTTTGGTCTGCAGGCCGGTGCTCATTCCACTGAATTACACCAGCCAGGGCTACTAAAAAACCCTATTTTTAAAAAATGTATTTATATTGACAACAAACTCCTAAGTATCAACAACTGAAACTAAAAAACCAAAAACTAGCTATTCAAACAACTAAAACAGGAACAGAATCACAGAAATGGAGATCACATGGAGGGTTATCAGCAGGGAGGGGGAGGAGGGAGAATGGGGTAAAAGGTACAGGGAATAGGAAGCATAAATGGTAGGAACAAAATAGACAGGGGAAGGTTAAGAATAATATAGGAAACAGAGAAGCCAAAGAACTTATATGTACAACCCATGGACGTGAACTAAGGGCGGGCGGAATGCACGGTAGAGGGGAATAAAGGGTGGAGGGGAATGGGGCGACTGTAATAGCCTAATCAATAAAATATATTTCAAAATATATTTAATGATTTTGAGAGAGGGAGATGCACATCAGTTTGTTGCACTTACTGATGCACTCATTGCTTGATTCCTGCTGGCTTCCTGACCAAGGATCAAGCCTGCAACCTCAGCGTATCAGGAATATGCTCTAGCCAACTGAGCTACCCAGCCAATGTTAAAAAAAGAAGAAATGCTAAATCCTGACACACTATCAGCCTAGTTCTACCTCCTAACCTTCCTCCTTCCCCTTCTGGAAGTCTGGAACTCCTGAAGCTGCTCCTAGGTTATCAGCTCCTAGGCGACTCCACTTCAGGCTAAGACAGTAAAGGAACTGCTCCCTTCCATTTGCCCCCGTGGACCTCACCTAGCACCGGACTGGGGGAGCACTGGCCTAGGGGACCACTGTTGGTAGCCAGATTTGCAGAGAAAGTCTTTGGGTTCAAGCCCATGTCCCCAGTGGCTCCCCCAACATGGACAGAGTCTGGCTGTCAGGCATACCTGGCACTAAGTGCTGGGGACAGAGTCACATCTGCAGGGTCACCTGGCTGCACCCATTTTCCCTTCCAAGGCCCCTTCTGAAGGTCCCTGCCCCACACATGCTCTGTGATCCTAGTGGTCACTACCCAGTGGTCTTTATTCTTCTTACCTGAGACTCTCCAAGCCTCGCTCTTTTTTTCTAAGAAGGCTGTGGACCAAGCACCAACTTTCCCAAGAAATTGTTTGGGGCCTCCACACTGGGCCTTGGTGTCCTCATCTGCAAAATGGAGAGCACTGGGTAGTGGCATTGACACTTCGTGTGCTGCTGTGAGGAGAGTAGGATGGCCAGATAGGTTTGAAGCGTTTGTAGGGAAGTCTGGCTTCGGTGGAGTACAGGTGCATCTTAACAGTAATTTAATCAGCATTTTGGTTTGGCTTAGGGCCCATTTGGAGAAAATTCGATTTTTGTTCTCAGAGTTCTCCATTGCTCAAGTGCTATTAAGACCAAAAGTCATTTCAAGGCTTCTGATTTCCAAGCTCAAGGGTCTCAGGCGTCTGGGTCCGGATGAGGAACCAGGGGCCCAGAGAAAGCCTTGCCCAGTTTTATTCAGGCTGACTGTGCTGGGCGGGGCCGAGGGCTGGTTGGGGGGCAAGGGCTGAGTTGGTAGCACTGAAGATCTTCCCCCCGCCCCCCCCCACCCCAAGGTCCTAGGAGGGTTGGTTAACAGGTATTTCACAGTAAACGGTGCAGACCACATATAAAAGGGAGGAGAGTGTTGGCAGGAAAGCTTGGGGAAGACCAATGGTAATGTCCTGGAGTTGGGTCTTGTGGGCAGAGGGAAAAGCCAAAAGTGCTGGGAGCTCCTAGACAGGTGGTCTGCCTCACTCAAGGGCTTGTCTCAATGTGGTCCAGGCCATGGCTTAGGCTCCGCTGTCTAGCTACCTGGCCAGAATGACAGCGGCTGACTACGACAAAAAGCAAGAGCCTCTCTGAGGCTCAAGAACAAACGATGGACTGATATATAAACAGCACCTACCCCATAAACCGGATTAGATGAGAAGATACCCCTGAGGTGCCTCCCTCAGCTTCTTGTGTTACATATACTCCTGCAGAGTTGGCTGTTATATTACCTCAGGCCGCCACCCGTGCACCAGACCTTGGGGCTACAGGCTGTACGGTGGTGTCAGAGGGAGCCTTCCACCCGACTCTACAGGCCCTTGTGGGCAGAACAGGCGTCGCATTCAGAGCCTGTCCTAACCAGCTGGAGGTAAATCCATCCATGAGGCTACGTGGGCCTCAGTTTCCTCTCGGAGCCTTAGTAACAATCACACCGCCTGTGGAAGAACCTGGTGGAGGGCACAAACTTACAAACGTCGGAATTTGCATTTTCTCCTCCAAGCAGAGGCCCCCTCCCCCAGCGTGAAGCACACAGTAGGCGCTCCGGAAATGCTCTCCGAAAAGTGGTACGGGCCCCTTCCTGCCCCCAAGCGCTCAATTCCTAGTCAGGGTTCCCACCACTCCTCCATGGAGGCCATGTGGCATTCCTGAGGGTGGGGGTGGGCGCAGGAAGAAGGTGCCCTCCCGACCCCGCCCCCTCCGGGCGCGGTGGGCGGGGCGAAGCCCATCTCCGCCGCCGGCACGCCCTGCAGTGGGTGGGCGTAGCTCGACGCGCTCCGCACAAAGTTTGTTTTCTCCCTCTGGGTGGGTGGGGGAGGGCGAGGAGCGGACGGGGAGGTGGTGGGGGGAAGGAGAGGGGATCTGACGTCAGGCCGCGAGGTGCTTTCCAGCCGCGAGCTGTCAGGCCGAGTGTCAGGCCCGGCAGGTACGCGGCGCGCTTCCCCAGCACCCCCTGCCCCCTGCCAGGACGCCCCAGACCGAGCTCAAGGCCGCGTGGACGGAAAAGCCTCTCGGGAAAGTCAGTGCGGGGCATAGAAGCTGAACAGATGGGGGTGGGGGGCGCGCGGACAACTTGGAAAGTTTTTTTCTGGGCCGGGCGGGGGAGGGGGCGTCGTCCTGGCGCGTGCGATTGTGGGTGTGTGAACTCTGGTGTTCGTGAGTCCCGACCGCAGTGTGCGGGCTGGGGCCCGGTGGAGGAGGAACCCACCCCCGGGGAAAAGCTCTCTCGAGGATATTTTGGGGGGAACCTAGCTTTTTGGGACCCCACCAAGGCAGACGGGCCGCCCCTGCCCCAGCCGGGGTGAGCGCGCGGGGCTGGTTTGTTTGGTTTCAAAAGTGCACGTTGCTAACCGCCGGCCGCCCCCCCCCCCGCGGCGCTCTGGCGGAGCGGGGGTGGGGGCCACTGAGAGTGACAGCTGCGGGTGGGGGCAACGGGAAGGGCCTGGAGTTGGAAGGGCCCGGGAGTCCGCGCGAGTTCCCCTTTCCTTTGAAACAAAGGAAAGTCTGTCTCTGAGGCATCTGTCACTCCGAGGCGGGCCAAGGAAGTGGGGCTCGGGGGTCCAGCGACCTGAAGAAAGTTTGTGCGCGCGGGGACCCTCGGGCACGCGGAGCGTGAGCCGAGCCTTCTGCGGGGGAAGCTCTCAGCCTCCGGGGCAGGGGGCGGCCAACATGGAGTCTGGGCGCAGGGCTGGGGGGGGCGGTGCGGAGGTGGGAGCCCAGCCCCCTCCTCTCCCCTCCCCCTCCGGGCCGAATTCGGAGCACAAAGCGGAGCGCGCAGGCTCGGCCGGCCTCGAGCCCCGGAGAGTCAGCCTGCGCGAAGCTGCAGGGGAAGGGGGTGGGAACCAAACTTTTTCCTACCCCGGGACGGACACGTGAGTTTTCTTTCTTCCAGAGCCCCCGCCCCACTGGATTGCTGGCCCGCGGGTGAGCTGGAGCGCCGAGTCTGACGCGGGGTTAGGGGGTGAGGGGGTGCAGGCGCCCCAGTGCAGGCTGATTCCCTGCCGCCCCGAGAGCCATGTGCTCTGACTCGATCTGGGCCGCGGGGGAGGCTGCGCGCTTTGTGTGAACTGCTGGGAATGCAGCGCGAGTGTGCGGCGCGGGGGAGTGTCCGGCCAGGCTGGAGAGTTGTCAGAAAGTTCGTGCGGGAGTGGCTGCAGGTCGGCGTCGTGGAGTGTGTAGTTCGGTGCAGCGGGTGTTGTGTCGAGAGTTTGCTGCCTCAGGCCAGTTAGGGTAAGAACTGATGGCTGGTGTGATGACGTCTGGAGTTTTCCTAGTCTGAGAGATCGTGGGTGGGCGGGGCGGGGCGGTTTAGAGTTCGTGGGTGGGCTTATATCCAGGAGTTGGGCTAGTTGTGGGTACCAGTTGACCGTGCAGGAAGTGAGATCTGTTTGTAAACTGCGTGTGTGCTGTATTTGTCGGTGAAATTCATGGGCGTTCCAGGGGCCGAGCTACGAGTTGGTGCCAGTTATGAGTGATGTTAGTTGCCTGGTGTGAGTGTGGGGTGTATTTGTGAGATAGCTCACCGGATTGTAGGCGGGCGGAGGTGCAGGACACTTTGGAATCCTGCAGACTGGAACTTGGCGGACAGCCAGGTTGGAATTTGTACGTACAACCTTTAGTAAACTCACACAGCCTGCCAGGGATGCGTCCCTGAGCCCAGATCCCAACTGCCCTGGCCAGCTAAACTTCAGACACCTGACCTCAGAAAACAGTCAGCCTGTTGGTGCTCTCTGAGTAGTGGCACCTCTAATCAATGCCTGTCTCACCTCCAGGTGGCCTGGCTGGGAGGGTAGACCCTTCCCTCGAAAGCCTGGCCTAGCCAGCCCAGTTATCTGGGCTCTGGCCCAAGTCTAGGAAACAAAACCTGGGAAATGCCAGTCTGTTGGCCCAGCCAGCTGGGGAGCTATTAAAGGCTGCAGAGGGAGGAGTCTTGAGATTCTAGCATCTGCTTGGCCTGGAACTTTTGATTTTAAAATGTAAATCTCTTTTGCGTGTGTAAACAAGAAGTTTGTCAGGGGCTGAGCAACTGAGCTGGGTTGTCTAGGGAAACATTTCATTTGAAGAGGGAGCCCAAGTCTAGAAGAGGCAGGGACATTTGCCCAAAGTCACACAGCCAGGTTGAAGGGACCAGGCTAGGAGCTAGATGACAAAGGAACGTCTGAGAGACAAGTAGTAGGGATGACTCTCCGCACTCTCTGTGCCGAGAGTCTGCACCTACACAGTGGGTGCACAGTAAATGTTACATGGATTGCTGTAAGACCATGGTGATGGATAGTTTCCTGACCCTCAGTGTGTCTTGAGAGACCTGGGAGGCAAGTTGGTATGGAGTAAGGGTGTGGCGCTAACTGCCATGCTCCCAACCCACTGTAGTACATGTGCTGCATCCTGTGTGGGAGGTTTTTTTCCCATAGCAGCTTAAGCGTTGTCCATGGTTTTTAGTACAGTTGAAATTTAAACAACACAAGTTTAGACTTTGCAGGTCCACTTATGCATGGATATTTTTTTCAATAAATACCTGGACTGTCTCCATTTGTACTTTGAAGTTCATGGATGCACTGATTGTTATTTTATGTAGGGGACTTGAGCATTCGCTGGTTTTGGTATCCTTCAGGGGTTCCTGGAACCAATCCCCCATAAATGCAGAGAGACAAATTTTGGGGGGGTGTCAAAAATTATTTGCAGTTTTCAACTGTGTGGGGCTGCCCCACATTGTTCAAGGATGAACTGTACATTCACAACTCTGCAGCTATCACCACAGTCAATGGTCAACATCTTCATCACCTAAAAAACCCCTCCATACCCTCTACTATCACCCTTCTATCCCCTTCTGGCCCATTCTGGGCATTTCATTAAAACGGAACTACATGATGTGTGTTCTGTGTGATGTGTGTCTTTCACTTAGCATAATATTTTCCAGGTTCATCCACACTGTAGCATGGATCAGGACTTCAATCTTTTTAATGGCAAAGTAATATTCCACTGTGTGGATAGGCCACTTTTATTCATCTGTTGATAGACACTTTTTGCTATTATGAATAATGTTATAAATACTCGTGTACAAGCTTTTGTGTGGACGTAGGTTTTCATTTCTCTTGGTTAGATGCCTAGGAGTGAAATTACTGGGTCACATGATAACTTTAATTGCCATAGTATCATGAATGGCCTTCTTAATCTCTTTGGGCCTTGCTTTGCTCATCTATAAAATGGTGACAATAGTAGTGTCTCCCTTACAAGGGCTTTATGAGGATTGAATGAGATAATAAATGGAAAGTGCTCAGTACCAAGCATGGAAAACAGACCTCAGTGGTAACTGGTACTGCTTATTAGTGAGCTGCCATTTCCAGGGAACTCTTTGTGACGTGTATGTTTGTCTCACCACTATGCTGTACACCTGAAACTAATACAAAATAATGTTGCATGTAAACTAATTTTTAAAAAGCTGCCATTTTGTTAAGCAGGCACCTATTGAAGTGGAGGCCTTTCGCACTCATCTCTATAGGCTTGGCCGGGTCTGACACTTTGGACTGCGGTTTCCCCATAGTTCAGGTGTCCCAGGTCCTGGCAGTGCATGGTAATGATGTCCCCATCATCTTTGTCCCTTGTTCAGGCTTTCCTGAGGTCCAGCTTAGCCCCCCGACACCATGTCAGACAGTGACCTGGGTGAGGACGAAGGCCTCCTCTCCCTGGCAGGCAAGAGGAAGCGCAGAGGGAACCTGCCCAAGGAGTCGGTGAAGATCCTCCGGGACTGGCTGTACTTGCACCGGTACAATGCCTACCCCTCCGAGCAGGAGAAGCTGAGCCTGTCTGGACAAACCAACCTATCTGTGTTGCAGGTAAGGAGGGGGCAGTAGGAGACCTGGGTTCTGGTCCTATCTCAGCCCCGTCACTGACTCATTGTGTGGCCTAAGGCTGGTCGCCTCCCTCTCTGGGCCTTGGTTTCTTTTTGGTCAGATAAGAACACCCACTCCCCCTGCCTCAAGGGAGGGCATTGACAAGAGGTCCTTGCAGCTAGATTTCAGATTTCTGAGAGTTTTAAAGAATCAAGGATCAGTGTTAATGCCTAGGTGTGGTCATGAACACTGGAGGCTGTGAGAAGTAAGAATGCATTGAGGTCTGGGATTCAGTCCCCAGCCCCTGGGTGGGGCTTGGACTGCGACTTGGCTGTGGAGAAGCTGATGGTCTGCAGTGTGGTTAAGATTGAGTTGGAATCCTGGTCAAGGGAAGTGCAGAGAGATTCCGAGTCCAAACCCGTTTCCACCACATCAAAGCTGTGGATCACATCTCAATTTCCTCATCTGTAAAGTGGGGGTGACAGTCCTCTTCTGCCTGACTGAGCTGTTCTAAGGGACAGATTCAGAACTGGATGTGAAAGGGCTTTGAGCACGTTCAAAAGACTGTTATCTACTTTTTGTCAAAGTGCAAGATTTTATCTCCTTGGAATTGCCTCAGTTGCCGACATGCTGGCCTTTTCTTCTGCTTTCACAGTGCTGAGGCAGGACTGCCTCAGGTTTGTCTGTCACCTGCTGGGAGACAGCAGGGCCTCAGCCCAGCAAAGGCCCTGCCCCTGCCGCCCTTTGTCCTTCCCCAGCCCATTACTCCAATCTGTGGAATGGGTTCTCCCTCCTTCTCTTACCCCACTCTGAACCCCCTGGTCTTCCCAGCTCCTGTCCCTCCTCTTCTTCCGTGAAGTCTCACGGTGAGTGTCAGTCCTCAGGACTCCTGTCACCTGACTTACACTCTCCAGGCAGTGGCTAACTGGGGTCCGTCTACAAGAAAGGCTCCAGCATTACAGACCCTGACTCGGAGCCCATCTTCTCGGCAAGAGGAAGCCTGGACCTTGGCCATGTCTCTGCCTCACTGGGCCTCGGGTTTCCTCTACTGAAAAAGGGCGGTGGTGCAGCACTCGCGTGGTGCCTCAGGAGGGGGGACCGAGTCCAGGGCTCCCTGTGAGCTGCGTGGCTCAGAGTGGGTGCTTCTGCTCTCCTTTCCATTCTCCTCTGTCCTAGGTCATAGGTCTTGGACTGACCCCAGGAGTTTACCATCTTACAGTGTCCTCCTAAGCATCCCACTCTGCCCAGCTCAATATGCAGTCTGGGATGGGATAGCAAGAGAGGGTTGGCCACTGATGTGCGCCAGGGGTGATCACTGCTCTTTGAAGGCAGCAGGGAGCCACCGTGGAGCCTCAAAAGGCCTCCCAGAAGGGGTAGACTTGAACTCACGGGCCAAAGTCTGGACCCTGAGAGCCAGTATTACCCAGGCAGCCTCTTTGCTGGTCTTCCTGCCTCCAGCTTTGCTCCTTCAGTCCAGTCCCTTGAACACAGAAGTGCAAATCTGGTTGCGGCACACTCCGGAGACCCTGTTGACCGCAGGAGACAGTCTAAACTCCAAGGTGCTTAGCAGCCCCATCTTTCTGTTCTTCTGCCCCTGGGCCCTTGAGCCATCTGGGCCTGCAGGCCATCTCCTTTGAGTTCTTTTCTATCCTTCCTGAATCCCAATCACTCCTTTTGTTAAGCATTTTCCTTAGAAATCCTGGAGGCCACTGCTGTGTATGCCCACTGGTTCTCAAATCACTTGTTACTCTATTGAAATTGATTTTTGTCAGGGACACTGTTTCTCAAATCTGAGCAATGTACCACCTTTTTTTAAAGGAAAACATTTTTATTACCGCAATACTTAAGCATGCACAAACTGAAAACTGCGTAAAAATGTCTTGCTTTTGCTCTTATACACAACTATAAAATAAACAGTTTTCCAAAGTACATTAGTGTCAAACCAACAAGACTCCATCCAGCCGTGTTACTGGCAAGGGGATGGCGTGTGGCTGGCAGGGCCGTGCCATGGGGGGACGGAGGCGCTGGCTGTGGAGCTGAGCCCGTCCGGGCTGCCAGGGGCCATGGTGCACCTGTCAGAATCGGAGAAGAAGTACAAAGCCACTGTGTTTCTCCAAAGTGTTCTTGTGGAGAACTGGTGGCTCCCTAGAACAGCATATCCCTAGGTCCCACTTAGAGGACCGTGTGTCTGGGGTAGGGGTTAGTTAGCTGGAGACTTCAGGCCAGGCCAGAGGGGTTCCGTGGCCACCCTGCCCTAGAGTCATGCTGAGAGTTAAAAAGCCATGGGGACCGCCTGGCAGTCTTGGGTGGAAACTGTTATGAGTCCCCAGCATACAGGTGCCTCTGCTGGGAGGTCTCCCCTCCAAGCACCTCAGGTTTCTTGGTTGGTGACTGATAACATCTCCATGCTGGCTTCTTCCCTTTCTAAGGGTTATCCTGGATGGCTCTTTCTCAGGCTCCTGTGATGTCACCAATTCCTATACATACCCCATAAATATTTTTGGAATATGGACCAGGACATGGTCCAACCCTTCAGTGGTCCTGCCAACTTCATGGCAGTGTCACCTGTCCCCATCTGCACAGCAGGCTTCATCCCTGGCACCTCCCCTCCCCACTCTGGCCCCACTGCTCAGTACCCCAGACCACTTTGCCCCCATCCAACCAGAGACTTCCTACCCTTGAAGGAGCTGTGCCTTCCCACAGCCCTGGGACTGGGTCAGCATTTGGACCCTGAACTGGTCTCATTTATCACTGAGTGTTTAGCTCAGTGCCTTGTATCTGGGAGGTACCCCATAAGTAATGATTGAAGTGACAGAAAGTGAAGTTCAAGTGTTGGAGATGGCAACAGGCAGGACCACGGAGTAAGGAAATATGGCTGATCAGTTGGAAAGGTGGGCGTAAGACCCTGGAGGCATCTCTTTCTCCTGTACTTAACTTTTTGAAACTTCATTGTTTATTAAAAGCATTTGCAGTTCTGGTTGGTGTAGCTCAGTGGACTGAGCACGGACCGGTGCAGCAAAGGGTCGCCAGTTCAATTCCCAGTCAGGGCACATGCCTGGGTTGCAGGCCGGGTCCCCAATAGGGGACACATGAGAGGCAACCACACATTGACGTTTCTCTCCCACTCTTTCTCCTTCCCTTCCCCTCTCTCTAAAAATAAAAACATTTAAGAAAACATTTGCAGATTATTGACAAAAGAGAATATTCTAATCTAACGCACGCCTGGTACCAAACACCTGGTTTAAATGCGCAGCAGTATTTTGCCAGGGCCTGTTCTCCTTTCTCCCTGGGGGCATATCTTTTGATTGTCTTTTAACTGCCCGGGAGCGGTTCATTAGCAAGTCAATGAGTCATTTAACTAACTGGTTTGCTGGTACTTGCCTAGGGCTAGGCAGTTGGGAGGGTGAGACCAACTACAGAAAAAGTCATTTGTGAAGGATTTTCACAGGTCCCTGTGACCCCCCCCCCCGCCGCACCCACTTTATTGCTGTGGTTTCTGTCTGGTCTCGGGGCTGTTTGTTGGGGAGGGAAGCGTGGCAGGGAGGTTTGGGCCCTATTTCAACACTAATACTGACTAGGGCTGTGCTCTGTGCCGGCCCAGTGCCGTGTGCTGGAAACAGCAGTAGAACAGGAACTCTCCCTGCCCTCTGGCCAGCACGGAGAGGAGGGGAGATGTCATTTAAAAGACCAGTTCGGTGTCTGTAGGAAAGGTGTCTCTCAGGGGAGCAGCATTTGAGTAGAGACTTAAAGGAATTGGGAGGTAGGGGCTGCGGTCCCTCCAGTTTGGGGGACTGGGCAAGAAAGGAGCCTGCTGTAGAGGCTCCGGTGGCCTGCTCAGTGGCACCCCTCACCGGTCCGTCAGCCTGATCTTCCTCTGGCACCAAAGCTGGCTGCCTCCCTATTCTTCCTGCTGGCGATCTCTGTCTCTCCACGTTTTCTTTTCTTTCTTTTTAAAAAACTATTTATTTTCAGAGGGAGGGAGAAAGGGAGGGAGGGAGAACAGGAGGGAGAGAGAAACATCAATTGGTTGCCTCTCACATCCCCAACTGCGGCCCTGGCCTGCAACCTAGGCATGTGGTGTGGCTGGAATCCAACCAGTAACCTTGGGGTTCACAGGCCAACACTTGGTCCACTGAGTGACACCAATCAGGTCTGTGTCCCCACATTTTCATCTGTATGTATATTTTTTAGCCTCTTTGTGAATAAAGGGGTTTGCCCACAAGGACAAGTTAAACTGGTGGGTTAAACCATGCTAACCTCAGCCTGGGTGGCAGAACCCTGGGGAACTTAAAAAGACACATTCCTGACTCACTCCCACTAGATACATTAAACAAAGGAAAAATAACCATTTCTTAAAGTCTCCCTCCAGGTGACTGTAATACCACAAGCCTGCTCGGATGCAGGTGGTTGCAATACATGGAAGTATGTGAAGTTTGGGAGGGGTCTCCATGCCTTCAATCCCATCTGCTCTTTGGGGCCTGCCTTTCACAGCTGAAAAGATGTTGAACTGAAAGCACTTGTGTCAGGTGCTCTGCTCTGATCCTTGTGGCCTTCACAGCTTCCTGGCGTCCCTCCCACTCCCATTTGCCACAGCGGTTCCTCCCGTGGCCTTCATCTCAGCCTCTGATAAAAAGGAGTAAAACACTGTCCGGGCACAGCCTCTCAGACAGAGCCTTCCTTTATGCCAGAGACAGGCTTTTGGGCAGGCTCCCAGTCTGTTTGGCCGTATTAATCACAGTTCACCTTGGCATTCTCCCACCACCTGCCCCAGGACCTGGAGTGGGGGCGAGCCACACGCCCTCTTCCTGACTCAGGCGTAGGTCGGGCTGCTGGAAGGGGCTACAGAAAATCCCGGTAGCCTGTTATCACAGCTGGCCCAGGGGGCGTGCTCAGGCCTCCTGGCCTTTCCCAGCCCCCCTCAGCTGTGCATTTCTGTCGGATGAGAAGACAAAACAGACCGTAGTCTGCCAAATTTTCTGCAGACCAGGGTGAGTGTGTGGGAGAAAATGTAAGGGGGGGGGGTTCTGTTCTCAGGAATATAAGCCAAAATGGGAGGTGTAGTTAGGGGGCTAGATGGGCCCGCACAGCTGCTGGAACACGCCTGGGCTCCCCTCCCCAGCACTGCCTTCTCAGCGGAAACACCCAACCCTACTTTGCTTGACCCAGGTCACGGTGCCCTGTTTCCCCTGCATCCAGGGGTGAGGTGGCAGAGGGGCAGTGCTCTCCTGTGGCACCGGTAACTGAGCAGGCAGCTGAGGGCTGGAAGCAACTGAACAAGGAGAAAGGGCTTTAGGCTGACTCTTCAGTCCTTTACACCTGCCTGGAAGCAGGCTGTTTGGACCAGATCCATTTGCACTTGTGACCTTGAGCAAGTTACTGAACCTCTTTGATCTGGGCCTCTGTTTTTCCAACAGTCCAAATAAAATGGAGATCATCACAGAACCGGTCTCATTAGCTGTTGAAGATTAAATGAGTAATTAAATGGGAAGTGTTCAGAACAGCACCTGATATGTTTTGTTTCAACAAGTGTTTACTTTTAGGATTATGATAATGATTATTTCTCTGCCTGGTAAGACAGCAAAGCAGAGTAAGAATAGCCTCGGGGGCCCTGACCAGGGTGGCCCCGTTGGTTGGGTGTCATCCCACAATCGAAAGGTCCTGGGTGGTTCCTGGTCTGGGCATGCTTGGGTTGCGAGTTCAGTCCTGGGGCAGGGTGTGTACAAGAGGCAGGCAGTCCATGGTTCTCTTTTATATTCCTGTTTCTTTCCCTTTCCTTCCCTCCCCACCTCCATCCTGTCTACAGAAATAAATAAAACCTTAAAAAAAGAAAAAGAATACCAGGGGCCCCTGGGTTTGCATCCCAGGTTCGTGCTCAGGCTGTGTGACTTTGGCAAGTTCTTTCATCTGAGTTCTGGTCCCCCTTTTGGTACTTTGGGGACACTGCTCACCGGCCTTCCAGACTTGTGTGCGGATTAAACATAGTGCAGGAGAGACAGCTTGATGTGCTAACCGAGTATCCAGACTGCTAGTTCCCTTCCTTCATGGAGCCCAGCTGCTCAGCCTTGTCCTTGGAGAGCCCTTGCAGCCCTCGCCAGGATTCAGCTCCCCCAGTGTCTGCTGATGCCTGCGGTTGTGTGTGCTCGGAAGTACTTGGACCATAGAGGTGAAAAGCCATAAGGGAGAACCCCAGGGGCAGGACCTTTCCAGGCAGACCAGAGAAGGAAGAGAAAGGCCACAAGAAGGCTCTGCCTGCCCAGGAGCTTTCCCGTCCTGGCAGGGCCAGGGGCCTAGTGCTATCCTTGGCTCACCTGTGGAATGGACGCAGCTGTAGCCTGCTGGGCAAGGACCCATGCCAACTCTGGGTACCAGTGCCTTTCATAGGTGGCCAGCCATTCAGCTGGGTATAGAGGCAGACATAGGAAGATGGTACCCAAGGGCTTGCCTGGGTATGAGCTAAGAAAGGTGACAGGCAGGTGCAGAATTGATGCAGGAGCCCTGAGGAGTGATGGGGTTTTGATCATTGAGCAAATATTAGAGGAATGTTTTAAGAAACATGGTGTGTTGCTGCAGCCCACAGTTCCCAGCATCCTAGCACACAGGAAGTGAGGGGCAGGGGGCTCCTGTCTTTTCTTCCTCCTGTAGTGGTTGCTGCATGCTCTGCAAGTATCTATTGAGAGAACAGCTGTCTGTTGAGAGGGAAGGAGAGATGGGACCAGGAGCAGGACCTGGAGTGGAATTCAGGTCAGGACCCTGTTTCCAGTGGTGTCCCACCTTTTGAAAGAAAAATAATAGTTGTCTTAGGCCACACGTTAAATACATTGTGATATGTAATCACAAAAAAGAACGCTCAGCACATTGTAAGTAAATTTACAGTTTTGTGTTGGACCACATTCATAGCCACCCCTGGGCTGCGTGCGGTATGCGGGCTGCCGGTTGGATGCCCCTGGTCAGGCAGGCCCTTTGGACTTAGACGGCAGTGTTGCAGCCCAGTGGGCACAGCCCTGTCTGCTTCCATCGGTTCCTTAAACCAGACCCTTTCCTGCCTCAGGACAGGACCTTGGCATTTGCTTTTCCCTCTAAAATGTTCTTCCTTCAGCTTTCTATATGGCTGGTTTTATTTTTTAGGATCTAAAGAATAGGGGGTATCAAACTCATTTTCACTGGGGGCCACGTCAACCTTGCAGTTGCCTTCAAAGGGCCAAATAATTTTAGGACTGTGTAACTGCAACTACCTCTTCACAGTTAAGGAGTTCAAATTTCATTCAGCCCTCTGAAGGCAACTGCGAGGCTGATGTGGTCCCTGGTGAAAATGAGTGCGACACCAGACACCCCTGCTTTAGGTCTTAGCCTTCCCAGACCCTTGTCTGGAGAAGTCGCTCTTATCTTTCTATGCTACCCTTCTATTCCTGTCTGTTTCCTTCCTGGCACTTACTGGTGGCTGTTCACCATGTTTGTTCATTGTCAGTCTCCACAGCTAGGTGGACTGTAAGCACCACAGGGTATAGAGTGCACGTCTGTTTAATTCACAAAGGGCTCGCCAGCACCAAGAACGGAGCCTGGCACATAGTAAGCGCTCAGTAAGTATTTGAGTGAGCACACAGCCCTGAGAGGGAGAGCAGTTGGAAAGCGAGGAGTCCTAACCTGTTTTGAAGAACAGAGTAAGCTGGGCTGTGAGGCCCCATGACAGCCTGAGGGAGATCCAGGGAGGAGGGGCTCCCGCTCCCCCAGACCCAAAAGCCCAGGCTCGGGGATCCCTGACTGGAGGTCAAGTCCTGGCTGACTTCTCCAGGCTGAGCTGGACGTGTGTTCTTCGGTAAACTGGGAATTGACCCAACTCAGAGCCGATGTAACTGTGAGAAGATTGTGTAGCTAGCTGTGCAGGGCTCGATAAATGGCAGTTTGGTAACCTCAGCAAAAGCTCCCAGAAAGATAAGATGCTCAGGTGGGTGGACACACCTACCAGGCCACACCCATCGTGCCCCACCTCCAATACCCACAGTGTCTAACCAATGTTTCTTCCCTCCTGCTACTTCTGAGATGGCAAGAAAATTATTAAGCAGGTTTTTCCCTTCGATGGCCCCTCCAGTGGTGGGCAAGAGGGAGAAGAACTTGTAGAAAATGGTGGTGGTGGGGGTTGTATTTGCCTATTTATGGAAAGGGTTAATGTTTTCTAACAGGTTTGTGTTTATGACCTTATACCAGCTGTGCGGCTAAGAAAGTTTCCAGGTCTGATACATAACTTTTAATACGATGCTCAGGTGAGCTATTGCAGGATCGGTCTTGCCACACCTCCAGGCCTTTAGGAGTAAATGAGAAAAGAGGGTTTGAGTGGTTGGTTTTATAGGAGGTAGAGAAGGATGCAGGATGAGGGCCTGCTGCAGAAACTAGTCACACTCTGCCCTCAGGGTGTCATTCTTTCGTGTATGAAAAGAAACTGCCAGGTCCTGCACCAGCCCTGGGTGAAGAGAGAGGAGTTTTGAATCTGTTTCCTCTGCTCAGGCCTTAGGGCCAATACCTTAGATCAACCCAGACTTAGAGGAGTAGCCATTCTGAGGGGGAGAAGGGCATTTGAGAAAGAACAACTGTGATGTGCAAAAGGCCAGGAGCTACTAGAAAGAAGAAAAGCACAGGGCCTGATGAAGGGCTGGTGAGCAGTTTCACATGCCGAAGAATGGAAGGGCTGGAAATACTGACGGGGGAGGGGTTAACACCCAGGCTCGGGCATCTTAGATTTGATTTCGTAGGCAGCAGGAGGCAGGGCAGTTTTTTAGAACAGGAATAACAGGCTTTGCATTTTAGAAGAAGTGACAACCAGTGAAGGGGCTGGGTTGGAGAGCCATAAAGCTGTTAAAAAGAATCCAGACAGCCCTGGTTGGTGTGGCTCAGTGAACTGAGTGCCAGCCTGCAAAGGGTGGCTGGTTCGATTCCCAGTCAGGGCACATGCCTGGGTTGTGGGCCAGGTCCCCAGTTGAGGGCATGTGAGAGGCCACCAATGTATCTCTCGCACACTGATGTTTCTCTTCCCCTCTTTCTCCCTTCCCCTCTCTCTAAAAATCCAGACAGATGTGAGTCAGGGTGCTAGGTGTTTGGGTTTTGCGGAATAACAAACACTTAACCGTGAGGAATTTCGTGCCCCATGCAGAGTTCAAAAAGGTTGATCTAAACAGTGAATTAAATGGGAATGGGGTCAAGGTTAAATGGTAGCTTTCTGAGCAGCATGTAGGAAAATAAACTTAGGATGCTACTTGAATGCACATTCCGCTGGAGCCAGTGATCCTGGTTTTGCTTGGAAACAGTAATTTTCTTCTACCCAACAGTCCTGTGGTGATTTTGTGGCCTGTATCAGGACTCTGCTCCAGAAATTTAGGAGTGAATCGCCCTCGGCACTGCCCCCTCTCTTCCCTTTCATGCCCCATATCCACCGGGCACCAGATCCTCTCCTTTCCAGTTTCCCAAGTAGATGAAACATTCGTCATTTTGGCCTCTTCCTTAATACAACTTGAACTGCTTTTTCTCTGCCTCCACTCTGTTCTCCACACAGGAGGTTGCTCCTTGGTTTAACGCCCTCCTGCCCTCCCCATTGCCCTTAGAATAAACAACCAAATCCCCACCACAGAGGTGACCTCTAGTTACCACTCTTGAGCTCCAGCCATACAGGCCTGCCTTCTCTGAGTTCCTCATACACACTCTGCTTCCACCTACTACAGAGTCTTTTTAGAAGTTCATTTTCCCTACTTGAATGTCCTGTATTTGTACGATTTCTTCCTTAACTCTCTCTTCCCAACATCAACCCTTCTGAGGACTGAGGTTGTGTGTGTGTGTGTCTGTGTGTGTTTGCTACTGCATTCTGGGGCTTGACGTAGGTGCTTCAGAGCTGGTTTTGATCAAGTGAACTGATCACAGATTCTTACCACTCATTCCAGATCTGTAACTGGTTCATCAACGCTCGGCGGCGGCTTCTCCCAGACATGCTTCGGAAGGACGGCCAAGACCCCAACCAGTACACCATTTCCCGCCGCGGGGGCAAGGCCTCAGATGTGGCCCTCCCCCGCGGTGGCAGCCCCTCGGTGCTGGCTGTGTCTGTACCGGCCCCCACCAATGTGCTCTCCTTGTCTGTGTGCTCCGTGCCACTCCACTCGGGCCAGGGGGAAAAGCCAGCAGCCCCCTTCCCACAAGGGGAGCTGGAGCCCACCACCACCAAATCCCTGGTGACCCCTGGTAACACCCTCACCCTGCTGACCAGGGCCGAAGCTGGAAGCCCCACAGGTGGACTCTTCAATACACCACCGCCCACACCCCCAGAGCAGGACAAGGAGGACTTCAGCAGCTTCCAGCTGCTCGTGGAGGTGGCGCTACAGCGGGCTGCTGAGATGGAGCTTCAGAAGCAGCAGGACTCGTCGCCCTCATTACTGCACACTCCCATCCCCTTAGTCTCTGAAAACCCCAAGTAGGCGTCTGCCAACAGGGGTGTGCAAGGCTCAAGCCAGCTGTTCTGGGTTTATGTTTTGGTTCCCTTTCATACAGAGGGTTTTCTTTGGATCACTGCCAAACATCAGGATCATCTCCTCTGTCCCGAGGTCTTCAGCAGGAAGACACCAGGCGGTGTTGCTGCTCTGTGATGGGGACCTCTCCTCTTCCGACTCTGCCGTTTCTGCAGGCCTCCCCCAGTGAGGAGACTAAGAGAGTGGAGACAGGCATGGTGCTGCTGCTACTTCTCCAGAGAATCCGCAGGACACCTTTGTCCCAGCCTGCTTTCCTGGGCTGGGCATGGAAAACCTGCCACGTTCAGACCTGTGCTGGGTCCAAGTTGCTCCTGAGCCGGCCTCTCTGTTAAGGCAAGTGTGGACATTCCAAGTTCATAAGTGTGAACAAAAGGAAAGAGCAACCCAGTAGATGGCACAGAACCGACTCCAGTTGAATGTTTAGGTTTTTGCTCAACTTTGTGTTCATTTTCCCCTTTTTGCCGTGGTTTGCATTCATGGGGAAGTTTGCGTTGTGTGATGGAGTCTGATGAACTGGGAGTGGTCCACCGTTGCAACAGGTGATTGTTTTACAAGGAAGGAGTATTTTTATTTTGGGGACCAGCTACATCTCTGCAAAATTCCAAATGGTTGTTTTATTGTTGGTTTGGTTTACCAGGAAAGGAGAGGAAAATGTATATAGGCTTTGGCTTTTCTGCATCAGGCAGAAAGGGGAATAAACCCAAAGCCAGAGAAAGTGGCCAACAGAGAATCCGACCAAACCTTCTAGGCATAGAGCAGAGAATGATGATAAAAACCGGAGAGGTGTTTTTTTCTATTTTTGTTTTTACTGTACTTTTGGGGGGTGGGAGAAGCTAGACTGAGGCAGTAGGGTTTGTTTTCTTGTGGGTTTTTTTTTTCCTCTTTAATGTTTTCCCCTTTATTCTTGAAAGCTTTGCCCTACAGCCCCGAGTTTTTGGATTCCTTTAGGAACTTGGATTAGTGAGGCCGGAATGTCAAAAGCTCCATCTACTGGCAGGTTTTCTCACAATGGTGGCAGGAAAGCATTCCTGGAGGAAGCAGGAAGAGCGGCCCCAGCTGCCAGCGGAACAGAACTGCCTTCAGAGGCAGCTGGGGCTGGAGAGCGGGAGGCCTGCCCCCAAGAGTGTCTCTGTGTTGCACCTTTCTTCACACTGAAGTTGCAGAGGCCCCGGCCCTGAACTTCACAGTGGAACAGATCACAGTTGGTCTTATCTCCTCCCTCCCACTTTTTTGTTTCATTGCCAGCTGCGTTCAACAGCAATATACCCCATCTTTATATATCCTAAGAAACACTAATCCTAGGTTATTATTAGCCAAAATATTTTTGTTCTGATTGACATTGTTTCTGGGCCAAAAGACAGGTCAGAAGCCCCAGCCTGTGGTTTCCTTACGTTGCCAAGTCCAGGCACAAGGGGGAAGAGTGGCTGGATTGTTGGCTGCCTTGGGAAGGCCTGGCCAGGAGAAAAGGCAGAAGCAGGTGTTCAATCGCCAGGGAAGCACCCTCACTTCTGAGTGGGCAAGTTTCCTAGGCTCCTTTTTGCTGCCTTCCTCCTCCTGTGCCCTCTCCTTGCATGCCCTGGGTGGGTGGGAAGGGGATCAGGGATCTTCACCCTCCTGGGGCCCAGCTGGGGAAGGATGAACACGGCAGCTTCGAGATTAGTCAGTGCTGCTGTTTGCCCAGCCTTTCCACCTTACCAATGTCTGTGAGCCCAGGGCCGGTGTGACTGTTGCAAGATGCTTGTAGCAGGAAACTCTGGAAGTGTGTCGGGCTGGGATGGGACTCTTCCCACAGTGCACTGAGTAGTGGAGGTGCTGGGGGTGTGGGAGCCATGCTGCTGGATTCTGGTTGGGTCCCTCCCCCCCCCCCCCCCCATGTGCAAGATAGGGAGGCTGGGGCTGGTCAGCCTCTGCCTGGTTTGGTTGTGAGGTAAACTGGGGGGAGATTTAGCACAGTTATCCCATTGAGTAATTTGAGCAGAAAACTACTGTAAATAAGTTTTGTTTGTGTCTTTTGTCAAATAAAGTTGTTTTGGGTTTTGTTTTATTTTTTGTTTTCCAATCAAACATCAATCCACTGTGACCCTGGGCCCAGCCTGGAGATGGGGCACTTGCTGCATTCTTACCCGTGTTACCTCTTCCACCGTCCCTCCAGTAGCCACCCGTGGGAGTCCGTGCTGCACCCTTGTTTCCTGGTCCTCAGCCCTGTTACATGTCCTGTTCATCAGTGTGCAGGGGGGCATAAGCCCTGGGGTTGCTGAGTGGTATGGGGACTCTGGGAGCTAGCAACGCCCCCCCCCCCCCAGGTGAGGAAAGAACATGGCTGCAAGTCTGAAGCCAGCGCAAAGGCAGAGATGAGTGCTCTAGTCATATCTGAAATCAGTGCCACTTCTGGACTTCCCAATTACGTAAGCTAGTAAATTCCCCTTTTTAAGTTAGCTGTGGGTTGCATTTGTCATAACAATAGCTATACATTGTAATTGCGGCCCAAACAGTCTTGCTGTGTGCCTGGGTCTGCTGTATTCATTCTCTCTCTGTACACACAAGAGTGAGATTCCCTCGTAGGTAAACTGAGGGTTATTTGCCTGATTCTAAGTGGAGTTAGGATACGAATTCAGGCCTGTCTTGTTTGGAGGTTACCCTGAGGTCTACCCAGACCTTAACTTGAACTAGTGGTAGGCAGTTCCCAACCTGCTGGCATCTGGCTATCTAACATGGTTTGGGCTAAGCACTAGAACCTTGTTCCACAGAACCAAATAAGGCTGCCAGGTCTCCCACAGGTCATGCTCCTTTAGGGATTTGAAGACAGTTTCCCTGCCCACTTTCTCCAGCCTAACGAGCCCCAACTCAGCCTTTCATTTATCCAGCGTCCTGGTCTTCCCCCTTCCCTGTCAGAACTGGACACTTGGCCTTGGGGCTTGGCACAATAGGAAGGGCTCTTCAAAGTAAGTTTAATACTCTTTACATCTAGGAAACTATTCCCATAAAAGGGGAAGTGAATTGACTGGTTTGACTGCCTCAGGAGGGATGGCTTCTTACAAGTTCATTTCAGAGAACTGAAACCAAGAGAGTCTTCTGTGGGGCTTCAAACTGATGAGCTCTGGGCAGGCAAGCACTTGGATCACGCAAGCTGGCAGGGAGCATGTGGCTAAGGTCCCTCCAATGAAGGTAGGGGCGTTACCTAAGAACACCTACCTTTCCTGTTAACAGTCTCATGAAGAGACAGCTTTTAAATGCCTTTCTGCTCCCTGGTCTTGAGTGCCTGCGGCTGGGTTGGCTCTGTTACCAGACCTCCTCTTTATGCCCTAAAGAAGCTGGAATGATGCTTCCAGCCCTTGAGCATCAGTGTAAACACACACCCTGTGTTCGATAGTGGGGAAAAAAGGGGGCGAGGTAGTTATGGAGGATGTGGGGTGGGGGGTTCCTTTAGATTGATGGTCAAGAAAGTCCTCTTCCTTTTACTGTTTTTGAAAGAGGTAATTTCTCCACGGACTTCACTGGTAAACTATTCCCCATCTCAGCCCCATGAATAGGAATCTCTAGGGTGGGAACCAGGAATCTGGGTTTAAAAAGTGCACTCCAGTTTGGAAGCTGATCATGTGAAAGCTGCCAGGAGACAGGGCCCAGGTCTACTGGTGTGGCTGTAACCTCACCACGTTAGCCACCACGGGAGCTACAGAGAAGAAGATCAGGACCTGTGTGTGTGTGTGTGTGTGTGTGTGTAAATCGTCATCACTGTGCAGTGTGTCTGGGTTCTAAGCACTTCCCTATGACTTAAGCCTGGATTCAAATTACGGCTCTGTCACTTCATTAGTTGTGACCACAGGCAAGTGAGTTTACCACCCCAAACTTCAGTGTCTTCTTTGACAAAATGGGAATATTCAGGTCCTAAGAGGATGAAATAGGGCAATCCATTTCACTGTTCTGTATTATCATCTGGCCTCTCAGCACAGGGCCGACAGAAAACACGAGCTAAAAATAACTTGCTGTGTAGCACACAGGTTTTAAGCGGCAGAACTGGCACTCGTTACCCCAAAGGACTTCTGCCTTGATATGCATCAATATCATCAGGAGAGACACAGATGCAAATCCCCAGACCTCCCCTGCAGAGTGTCCAGGCAGTCGCACTGTTCACTGATGCCACAGGAGACCCAGTCACTTAGAACCAGGGCACTGATTGATCCCCAGAAAACTGCTGGGTTGGGAAGACAGCACCTCATCTTTCAAAGGGAGTGAGAAGAAGAGGGTACCACGAAGTAGTCTGCCCAAACCATCTGACTTCCCCGTGGCCCCCCGGGGGTCTGTGGTGGCCTTAAGGTCAAGCATAGCCTTCTTGAGGTCATCATTTTATTTTTTTTACTTATTTTAGAGAGAGGAGAAGGAGAGAAACATCGATGTGAGAGAGAAACACTGATTAGTTGCCTCTCATATGCACCTGGACCAGGGACTGAACCCGCAACCCAGGCATATGCCCTGACCAGGAATCGAACAGGGTTTCGTCGCTCTGTAGTAGGACGCCCAACCAACTGAGCCACATGGGGCAGGGCCCAGACTCACTTTCATTACATAAACAACCTACATTCATTATAGAAAAAAACAGTCAAAGGAGAGTTCAGTGTAGTGGTTAAGAGTTTGGACAGCTTTTGGAGGAAAACAAATGTACAATATGTAAAATATTTAGCAAAATGGACACCTAACTAAGGACTCTAAGTGCTAGTAAAACATTTATTGTAGGCAAAAAGAAGAGAGCACCAGGATGCAAACTCAGACCTCTACCTCACAACGGGTGCTCTTTCCGTGGCTCGTGGCTTTCCCTCCAGAGCTTGTGATTTCTGTGACCCCGTTTGTGTCTGTCTGGGGCCGTGATCTTTCCTCTCAGAGCTCACCTACCCCTCCAAATCCTACCACGAGCAGCTGGCAGTAGTGCAGAGGCATTCTGGGAGGACACACAGGCACACCTTGTTTTATTGTGCTTTGTGTTACTGAGTTTCACAGATACTGCATTTTTCACAAATTGAAGGCAACATTCTTCTCCAGCAAAAAGATTACCAGTCACTTCACTGTTGTGGTCTGGGACTGAACACACGCGATCTCAGGAGTGTGTGTCTGTACTCACCCCCAAGGCTGAGATTATTATGTGTTTGAGTGGTGCTAAAAAGCCCCAACCGGACAAAGGCAAATGCATTCTAATTCCAAATCTGTCTCTCTCACTTCCAAATCTGACTTCATCAAGTTCTTTTCCATCCTAGACCACCCAGGATGTTTAACCAGATGGATGCACTGGAATTCAGCCAGATCCCCTACTTCCTAAGACAAGGAAAACCTTGGGTGAAAGCAAAAAGGGAACAAGACCCAGTCCCTTAGATACCTTCTAGGCAAGGCTCTCCACCAGAGCACCCCTGCTTGGCCTTCTCTGCCCCCAGAAAGCCAAGAGGGGAACACAGATCGGGCTTCGCATACCTGTTGACTTCCCGTGACACTCGTGTTCCTGTGACACTTGCGTAAACGCAAATCTGATGAATCTCAGAGCTAAGGTCACAGCTTCACAATATAATACAATATGATGTATTAAAAATCAACTTTTGGGGGAGGGGGGCTAATTTGTGCAGATGATATGATTACAGGTATAGAAAACCCTAAGAATCGACACACACACACACAAAAACAAACCGGTTAAACTAATAAATGGATTCAGCAAAGTTTCAGGACACAAAATCAGTGCCCCCAAATCAGTTGTGTTTTTATACAGTAACAATGTACAGTCCAAAAGGAAACTAAGAAAATAATCTTATTTATAATAGCATCAAAAAGAAAATATACTGAAGAATTAACCAAGGAGGCGAAAATCATAGACTAAAAACTATAAAACATCACTGAATGAATTGAAGAAGATACAAATAAATGAAAAAACACCTTGTGTTCATGGGTTGGAAGACTTGATATTGTTAAGATTTCAGTATTATCCAAAGACATCTGTTGGTTCATTGCAATCTCTTATCAAAATTACAATGATTTTTTCTTGCAGAGATAAAAAAATTCATATGGAATCCCAAGGAACCCTCAATAGCCAAAATAATTTGAAAAAGAAGAACAGTTACAGGACTCACTTCCTAATTTCAAAACATACTACAGAGCTATGGTAGTCAAAATGATGTGGTACTGGCATAAAGGCAGACAAATATACCAATGAAATAGAATAGAGCTCTGAGGACTTCCACCAAGATGGAGGCGTAGGTGGAAGCACTGTACCTCCTCGCACAACCAAGTTTAAAAACAACAAAGTTTCAGCAACAAAAACACAGCCAAACCACAGAAGACTGAACTATACTAAGTCTGACAACAACGAACCCTTCAGCCAAACTGGTAAGAGGGGCAGAGCCAGCAGTAGAGTGGGGTCGGGCAGGAAAGATCCACCAGACCAACCGGGGCGTGAGACCCAGGTGCACCAGCAGCCATGGGCGGATCCCAGGTGTGGAGTGGTGGGCAGACCCACTGAGGGCACAAGGTGGTGGACTCACTGAGAGCTGATCGCGGTCACACATTTGCGCGCATATAAATCGGTGAAGGAGCAAGCGGTGAGACAGACCGTGCAGGCCCCAGTGGCCTGAAGCGGCAGAGGGAACTGCCATTATCCCTCTCTGACCCCGCCTCCACCTACAGCATCACAACCCATCGTTTTGGGTGGCCACGCCCTGGTGAATACCTAAGGCTCCGCTCCTCATACATACAGGCATGAACAGATCAAAACATGGCTCAAGAACAACTCAAAGCCCCAGAGCCAATAAATCTAAGCGATGAAGAAATGGCCAAACTTTCAGATGCACAGTTCAAAACACTGGTGATCAGGATGCTCACAGAACTGGTTGATTTTAGTCACAAATTAGAGGAACATATGAAGGCTAAACTAATTGAAATGAAGGGAAATACACAGAAAACCAATAGTAATGGAAAGGAAACTGGGAATCAAATCAAAGGAGTGGACCAGAAAGAGGGAAAAAAAGATGAAACAGAAAAGGATGAAGAAACAAGAATTCAAAAAAATGAGGA